AAAAAAAAAAAAAAAAAAAAAAAAAAAAAAAAAGCCAGGAATATATCTTAGTGGTACAGAGCTTGCCTACCATGTACAAGGATCTGTTTGAGCCACAGTACTTTCTAAAATAAAAAGACAATTTAACCAAATGCCTTTGGAATAGACCACTGCAACTGTTGACTATTTCAAAGGTTCATTGGCTTACTGAATGATAGATTTCCCAAATATTTAAATTTCTTGAAGAAAATCTAAACTATAACAGTACTGACCTGCTATTGTGTTGAAATGCTGTATGTACATTATTTATTTCTCTCAATGAAGTAGGTAGGTATTGTCCTCGTTTTACTGGTAAGGAAAGTTTAAGTGACTTAAGATTACTCGAGTCTGGACTCAACTTAGGTCTGTTGGACTGTGTCAGCAGTTCTATTTACATCTTTAAAGTCTACATCTGAATCAAGTAGATCTTGTTGGCAGTCACTTTACAGGGTCCTGCTCCTAACGTGTTTCCACTTCCTAGGGACCAGCACGAGCGACCTTCTGCTCTCCAGCTTCTGAAGCACTCCTTCTTGAAGAGAAATCAGTGAATACACAAGATTGCTCCCAGGCCTGCTTGATGCTGTTACTGCTTACTTGTGGGGAATGATGGTTGAGATTCTTGTTTTTGCACTGGAAATTCAATCTTTTAACCAGATTCTACAGTGTCACTAAAAATCTTACATATTAGCATCCTCAAGCCTGAGTATTACCTGTATGAGAGCAATATTTAAAATGAGAACCCATTCCAGTGTTTATAGTTTTGATTATCCAGGAACTATAATCTTTATTGCTTTATATATATATTCCCTTTAATTTCTGGCTTTTCCATTTTCATGTCATAGTTTTAAATAAATTGTATAAAGAACCTGTATCATCTTGCCTGGTGAGTATATACATTTAATTCTTGCAAGAAGACTCTAAGATGGGAAGGTAAATTGAGATTCTAGATCGTGCTCCTCAGCAGCAGTCCTAACCTTCAGGATTCCAGGAACTCAAGGCCTAACAGGAGCTAAGGGCCTTGGCGTTCCATGTTCAGTAAGTCAGAATACTTAAGGTGGGCCCTAAACTGTGGTATTTCCTAGGTGGGTTACTTGTAGTATAATCTGACAGCTTTCACTTCTTTGCAGAGTAAGTTAGCTCATGACCACACATACTAGTTAAGCCCAAACTGGCCGGGAGACAAAAGCTAGATCTCATGGGAGAATGAGTCAGCATAAAATCTTCTCAAACAGTTTTCGACCACTACTGACTGAATGGTCATTTTTGAAGTCACCTTGCAAACTTTCACTTCTGAAACACTGGTAAGTTCTTAGAATTCATACAGGCTCCTTTAAGTTGGACTATTTTGATAAGGTTTTTATTGCTGTGGATTTAGCACTAAATTTTGATACCTACTGATTTAAGCTATATCTTATCGGCTACCACCACTTCAAGATGGTATGAACATTCTAACACTAGTATCAGGCTTTGTCAAAATTAACTTTTTTTTTTTTTTGAGAATATGAAATGTAGCCCTGGTAAGATAAAAACATTTTACTTCTTTCATTTGTACAGTTTAAAAAAAAACCTGACACAAAGGCACAACCTTTACTATTTTACTCACTTGAATATCAACATGACCTGATATGACATAAAGGTAAAACAAAACATCTAGCTAGGTGCAGTGGCACATGCCTGTAATTACAACACTTATGAAGGCTGAGGGATGATTACAAGTTCAAATCCTACTAGGGAAACTTAGAAACTAAAAAAATCTGTTAAGTTCTGAAGCAATGAGCTATGTTCAAGTTTTCCCCAACCCTGTGGGGAAAGGGTAGGGAGTGAAACATGTTGGGTACACAAATCACACTAATGGACCTATGAAGTTGGTTAAACACATCTACCCTTCTACTGAGAGTATGCAACACGGTTTTGAAATATTGAAAAGAATCTTCAAAATAGGGTTCAGAGATAATTTTCTGACGGCCATCTAACTGGTAGGTGGAATTGGGATTGCTTTGTACAACTTTTAAAGCCTTTTCCTGCTGCCTTTCAGATTTGTTCTATTAAGGAAACCAGGTACCCTCTGACTGCTTTACTCAAAGCAAAATACCAGACACGTGGGTAAACAAAGGCTGAAGTCCAGTTTGATTCTGTGTACTTTAATGGTGGGTCAAGCCACTGTTGACTTATGTTATATTGTTTTCCCATCCATGAGTTTAGCTAACACAACTTTCAATTCCCCACTTTAAATCACTCTAAAGAGCTCATTTTATGGTTTTTTTTTGGTACCAGACATTGAACTCAGGACCTTGTGCTTGTGAGGCAGGCGGCAGCACCACTGAGATAAATCCCCAAACCCGTTTTATCATTTAAAAATACTCCTTTATCCTTTGGGCCCAAACTCAACCAAAGAAAATTTAACTCCCAAGTTCTAAAAAGTAGCGATGCAGTATCTCAAATTTAACCTCCTTTAACCCTCACACTGTGGACATTTCTCATTATTTAGGAGGCACGACAGAGGAAAGTGCAAACTCTGAATTATTGGAAGTTGGGTAGTATTCTACATCTGGACTACATCCATTCCCTCCTACAAGATCACCAGAGTAAGCAGTCCTTCCTTTTGTAGTATAATGAACAACTGGAAGATAATAATGCAATCAATCTGCTCAAGGAGCAGCCAAAATTCTCCATTATTTGCTAGGCCCAGTCATTACTTTTCACTTACAATTATTAACTCAGCTTAAAGCAACTACTTAAATGTAGAAACTTGAATTCAAAAAGGCTTTCCTGGTGATTCTGCCAATTAGTTCTAATGGGGGCACTTCTATCTATTGATAACCAACGTTGGTGTGTCTAATTCATGACCCAGGGCCTACTTGCCCTCTTAAAAAATATTGTAAAATTGTGAAAACTATGGATGAATTCACCTGTAAAACAAGCCCGCATTGAGTTTAAAGACTACAGAAAACTGACCTTGGGGATATATCTGGGCATTTAAAAGGCCTAAATAAACTGCTTATCTTCATTTCATGGCAATATGTTGAGCCTGCATTAGAGAGGCAATTTTGGGAGGTGGTGTTAAAGGAAGGGAATTGGCAGATTTTATATGAGGGCTAAAACATAATTTAAAAATACTGCAAACAGCAGGAGAAAAGGAGGGACAATGGGTTTGGACAAATTTGATTAAATGGAATAAGACATCTCTCATTTAATGACCGAATTATGGGCCTATGATTAGGTTGTTAAATGAGGAATTGTATATAGTATGTACATTACAATATTCAGAACAAAGAAATAGTCAAAGGAAACTACAACTTGATGACTTCACTTTTATTTGCACAATTCTTACATGGAGTACTATAATGTATAACAGAACATAAAACTATAGTACTGTACAGTACAATCAGCAAAAATTACAGTACTGTACTGTAGAAAAAGCCCTTATTGTGTTACCAACACAATCTCTTAATGTGATTTAAAGAATTTATTTACATCTAGGCTTAAATAAATACATTTATGAGATAACTTTTGCATCTTTTATTAAAGTTATTGCAATAAGCTTCATTTTCTTTCAAGTGGAAGATACAGGAAAACCTGTGTGGAGGGGAGGGAGGTTGGAGACAGCAGCAATATTAAAAGGGAAAGTACGATTAATGAAACTTTATAGGGAAGGAAATGAAGGTACAAAACTCAAATGATTTATCCAAGGCCAATACTCTATTAAGCCCTGGGGCTAAGACTGGAATTTGACCATATATAGTGGTGCCTTGATTCACGAATTTAATTCTTTCCATGACTCTGGTTGCAAACCAAACTAGATGAGAACCAAATCAAATTCAATGGTTGCATTCAGCATGGACACTGAAATTTGATTTGGTTCTCATCCAATTTGTTTTTCAACCGGAATTGTGGAAAAAATTTTGTAAATCAAGTAATCCCAGAAACTGTTCTCTGATGATGTTACTTGGATAAAGAGTCAATTATATTAGAGACCAAGTTCCCACAATTTCCCAGGGACTATAAGTTACACCTGACTCACTGTAACAAGACATGTTAGAGCCTTGGATTTATGCTGTTAATAAACACATTTTATTAATTTCTTATATATGAGAAGCTCAAATTCAATGATTAATTCATGCCAGTACACACATATGCCTGTTCTGGATTTTCTATCAGCCAACATCCCATTCAGCCATCCTTGGGGGTTCTGAGTACATTTAGAAAATAGAATTCCAAACACTGTTTACAACACAGTATTTGTGAGGTATTCTAACCAAGTGAAGCTGCTTGAAAAGACACATCGTAAAAAATAGAACTGTACTCACCACTTACTAAGAATGGTCTCATTAGTACTTAATAGGCAAATCAAAGTAAACTACTAAATAGAAATGTCAATACATTGGCTTTTAAGCAAGGTTTCTGCGCAATACTTGGAAATAAAATTAACCCTCAGGAATTTACTTGAGATTAATGGATCAAAGCAAAAAGGTTAAGTTACCTTTATGAGACAAGAGCTCCTAGCCATGCAACCTTTAATATCTTTTTTTTTTTTTTTTTTGGAGGCGGAGGTTTGAGACAGGGTCTCACTATGTAGTTGAGACTGACCTGGAACTCACTAGTAGTCCAGGCTGGTTTCAAACTCACAGCAATCCTCCTGCCTCAGCCTCCCGAGGGCTGGGATTACAGGCATGAGCCACCACACCCGGCTAACCTTTAATATCTTATCAACCCACTGAAAGAATATGGCAGGCAGAAAAAGATGATGGCAAATTATGCAACAGAAAAAGGAGTCACAGAGGTAAAAGCAAGCTGGTCCCAAATTGACATTGAAATAAAGAAATTAAAGCATGCTAAAATACTTAGAGCATTTCATTTCCACTGGCTAAGATGATCTTGATTGTAAGAACAGATGTTTCAGACAAATTTCTCTTACAAAATAAGCAAATTTCAGCTAGGCATGGTGGCACATATCTGTTATCCCAGCACTGTGGGAGGCTGAAGCAGGAGGATCAAAAGTTTGAACCTATTCTGGGCAATTTAGTGACTTAGTGACTTGGCAAGATCCTGGGAAAGTAGCTGTGTTCAATCCTCAGCATATGTGGGAGGAGAGGAAGAAGGAGGGGGAGGGGGAGGGGAGAGGGAACAAACAAGTTTCACCAGCTGATCAAATTGTCCAGTTTCTAGGTGTGAATTCTCAAATTAACATTGATATTGTTACTTAGTACTCTAACTGGACAGGGACAAAATGTACTGCTTTTCCAGTGCAAAAATCTGTCAGATTTAGTCTGCTTACTAAATTAGCTTGAATTTGGTTACTTCAAGTTTCTCCAGAGGCTGGCATTTGTTGATCCTTTTTCTGTATAACTGTGGTCAGTGAATCCTACTGCTTCCCATGAGAAAAGACTGCTCAATGAAATATCAAATCAAGGGTCCTTCATAAAAGGGCTTGCAATTTCCCCAGCAAAAAACATCCTAAACATTACCTAGCAAGGTAAGTACAATGGCAGGTGAGAAACTATTTTGTTCAGATAAAACCAGGTATGGTAAAAACAAAAAACAAAAATGGGATGGTGAGATAAAAATAAAACTATATTCTTTTACAGGTGGTACCGTGTTAAAAATAAATCCTTAAGTTTCATAAATGAAAAACCCTAACATGTCTATCAATCAGGTGGGTATATTGTGTTTAATATTTGTGCATATATAAGCAGTAGTTTATTTCTAAGGTTGGTTAAGGAATAAAAATTTAACTTTTCAAATAGAATATAAAAGAATCTATGTGCTTAAAACCTTTTAAGGCAAGGTATTGGTAACAGAAATCCTCAACACTGGTTCTCTGAAAGCACAGCAGCCACAGTAGTTGTTTCTTTAGGTCAGAGGATAGACAAGCCAAGGTCAGTTAACCTAGTAATTATGAACTGTCCATACAAAGTAATATAAGCATCAGCCATGACATTCCTTACCATGTATCATGGTAGAAAGTTTCTTTAAATGACTCTGAATAACCTGAAGAATTTGCACACAGAGGGAAGATGAAGGTACAAATTCAACTGCTTTCAAAGAGAAACCTGGGATGGATGCTATGACTTTTTGCAAGGTCTTAACCACTAATAGGTACTTAACCACTAACATGTTACGCCTGTTTTGTACAGTAGACTTCTGAAAATGTTTCTGCAAACACTGCTTTGCTTTGGTTCTGAAATTACATTTTAAAGTGGCCAAGGTAAATATTTAGGGGGCACAGCTCGATATCGAAGAACTAGTTGAAAGAGGTAGAAGTAAAGCCTTTGTTTGTAATGTGCTTCTGCATAAAGGTAACAAATCTGTGATCCAGGGAAAAGACAACTTAAAAATGAATCACTCTTTTATAAGATGTTTAAAGATAATGCTTTTTAATATTTCAAATATTTAAAAAAATCTCATAAAAAATGTATCACCTTAACAGTACTTTGCACATGTGGAATTTCACACCTAAATTTGATATTATTTTGGTTTATTTATGGCTACTTACAGTAAGACTCACAGTAATGTCCATTCATCTGAGTCTTTTTCTTTGGTAAAGTCTAATGGGACCAGGCCGATAAATTATTTTATGCAAATAAGATGGCTGAAGCAAACTCATGGTAATATGAATTATAAGAGTTTTTGTTTAATGGCAATGAAACTTAAAAGGATTTCTGCATTTATCCCCTTCGTGATTTTGGAAGCTTAAGATCCTGTTCAGAGGTTAAAGAGTTTGAATAGCTCACACAATCCTGTAAAAATCACAACTGACTGCCCTTTAATAAATAAAGTCATTGTAAAGAATTACATTTACAGAGTGAAAAATTAATACATAGCATCTCAAATTTAATTTTGGAAGTACTAGTAAGTACTGACCCATAACAATATATACTAGCTATCTTTTTAACTGTCCATCATTAGCACCAATAAAGATTCAACAAAATTACCTTTATTCCCACATTTCAAAACAATTCTTCAAACTCTTAGTAAAGTTTAACTATAGTCACAGACCTTAAATATTCACATTGTCTTCTATGTCATACTGAAAATAAGTTCACTACTTTTCTGGATATTCTTTGCAAAATCTTATTAAAATTCCTGGTATTATCCCCAATTATACAGTAGCACAACCACCCTATGTTGTTTCACATGATAGCTCTGTAGAGGTTTCACATCTAAATTACCAAGAACAGAACCGTTCCCTCCCTCATCTTGCCCTCAGCTTAATTCTATACTAGTCCTTGGATCATGTACCACTGTAAAAGTATAACTGTATCAAAATTACCATGTTTATGGATACAATATTATGCCATACAGAGCAATAAAGTTACATATAATGACAAAATTACTAACATTATGCAAGAACAAATGTGAGGACATGCTACCTAGGCACAGTCCCTAGAAAGAGGCTCCTAGTATCCCAAGTTCAAATAACATTGATGAAATAATAGTTATCTTAGATAACTGCTAAATAAAAGTAGAGCACAGATTAAACTCTATTATTTACAACCACAAAGTATTTGAGTAAAGTTACAATTGTGCACATATCAGTGGCTTTGTAACAAAAATAGTTCATTTATAGCGGAAAAATTAAGACAGTTTTTCAGTTCAACATAAGTTGAATTCAACCCATTTCAAAGATACTCAAAAACTCCAAGATTTACCACAGAATAAAGTCAAGATAAGCTAATAGACAAGAGCCATACTATTGGTATTTAAAACAAACTTAAACAAGTTAAAGTCTATCATTCAATCAGGAGTCAGATGACTGTGCAAACTTTACCTTAACAGGAATATACTGAGATGTGCAAACAAATGTAAAACCTCCACTAGTGGTTTGCCTGGAGGTTGATCTTTTTCTTCTACAGAGCTTTCTGATAGCAACCATAAGCTATAAATACAGGTACAATGCACAGTCAGTAATCTTTTCTATTTATTTGTTAGAATAAAAAATAATTAAGAGAGCATAAGTTTAATTTCATTTTTATAAGGAAGACTGTATTTACCTGAAAAAGAAATAAGACATCACACACAAATACGCTTCAGGGTAGGAGAATATTTAAGAATATGGTGTCGTTCTGAATGCTAAAGAAAAAGCGATTCCTGTTTACTGTTAAAATACGTAGTGTTAAAGTTCTTTCAGGAAAAACTTACTAATTTTTCACTATGTAAGTTTTGTGAATTTAGTTTTCAAATCACAGTAATCCACATAATTATGAACAGCTGTTTTATACTGCAATAAGCCAACATACATTTAAATGCACTTCACATCAAGAGTATGTAAACTTTATTCTTTTCTTCAAGCCTTCAGAGAATTAGGGGCCATTTCAGCAGCCAATCTGGTCAGAACCTCTGAAGGCAAAAACCGAGTGCCTCACAGTGTAAAGGACCACCTGTGGCACTGCATACCCATCTGGTAGTGAAGTGTCCCTCTTCAGCGGCTTCCAGTAAGGCCTAGAGTTTAAGGTTAACATGAAAAAGTGCCACCTTTGTTTCAGATTAGTGTTGGACTCTGACAAGAGAAAATAAAGTTATTCTGTACATTGTTATACTTACAAGCAGCTCCAATCCTGAGTATTTATGGTAATATCTAAACATACAAAAATGTATGTACATTTTCCTCCACTTTCTTGTAAACAGTTGTCAGTATACTGTTTTATCCCTTTATCATTGAAACATGCAAATCATACATACAAGTATAAATACACAAAAGAAAACAATTTTCACTCATTCAAAAGCCAAGCAACAACAAAAAATTACTACAGTATTCAAAATTATAAATAATGCTTGAGGCATTTTATATTCCTAGAAGCAGCCAGCCATTCACCCTAATGTTCTTAGCTGCAATTGTAGAAATAAGTTTTGCACCTTCCATGCTTTTACAGTATTTATAACACTATCATACGTGGAGATAAAGACTCGTTTACTATAATCTCTTCTTTTCAGAATGAAGAACAAAGCAGCACTTACAAATATTGAAGCAGTGGCAGAAACAGCAAGTGTTACCACTGCTAGATCAGGAGAAAGTTTTCCATCCTAACAAATTTTAAATTAAAAAAGTAAAGGAAAAATTGACCTAAACAAATGATTACATATTCATTCCTTGGGCACTTAACAGCGAGTCCAGCATGTCGAATGTGTCTTTGTAGTCCATATGCTGGCTGTTTGTACTGTACTCGTGATTGGCATCAGGTCCGTTGGTCTCCACTGGCTTCTTGTCCAGTTTCACGAGGGTGCTGAGATGTCCGTAGCCCACCTGGTATGTGACAGGGGGAGGAGGGGGTAAGGGATGGTTAAAAACAGAGTTGTGAGAGGATATATACTGCTTAACAGAGGAGGAAGAACTAGATGAACTACCTGAACTTTTGGAACTTTTGCTCATTTTGGAGTGATGGTTATGAGAGGCATCATTGATATGCAGCTTCTTCCTTGAAGAACTGGAACTAGAGGAAATGCCATCACTGCTCAGGCCAACTGGACTCCTCAAAACAGTGGGTGGTATTCCATCAGCATTATGTTTACTGCCACTGGTGCCACTACCACTGTGCAAGTGGGGATGCTTGTGACCGCTGGTGTGGTGGCGGTTTGCAGGGTGCTCCTTGTGCTTTTCCTTATGGTCTCTGCTAATATGTGGGCTCGAATGCTTGCTCTTCCCACTGCCTTCATCAGAAGAGCTGTGTCTTTCTGAAGATGAGACTTTTATCTTCATCTTCAGTTCTTCTTTGCTGGTGCCTTTATCAGCGGGTGGTAATGGAATTCGTAATTTCAGTGATCCACTCTTTTCCTTTTTTTCTGACATGTACTTTTCAGGTTTTTCAGTATTTGTGATGGGAATTTTCATTTTAATGGGAGAAGTTACAGAACTGCTGCTTGTTGCCTGTGACTGCATGTGTTTGTGTTGCTGTTCTACCTGGGCAGCTATATAATGATCCCTTACATCGACATCAAGAGTTTCTAGCTTACGTTTTTCTCTGTATTTATCTAAAGACATTTTCTGAGGAATAACTCCAGGAGTAGCAGAAATTGGCCCATGGTGTTTACTGCTCCCTGCTTTATGAGTATATTCTTGCTTAATAGAAGAATGATCAGAAATTTTGTCAGGTCTGTGATGTAATCCTGAATGCAGTGATATAGAAGGTCCCTGTTGGAAGTTGATGTTGTACTGGCTGCCAGACAAAGACGCCTCCTGTTTGTGTGAATATATTGGTTCTGTCCTTGTTGATTCTTGATGCTGAGGCCATTCTTGGTGTGATGACAAACCATATGAGGTACTGGGCATTCCTGTGGCTAGCATTGACAAATTATCAGATGTATGGCTGTCCTGAACAGAAATATTTCCTGAATTTAGAGGTACTGGTGCAGGGAATGCAGAAGTAGATGGTTTCTGAAAACTTGGGTTTGTAGGTACACCAGTAACACTATCTACTAAAATGGAATTCGGGACCAAAGATGAACCAAGAAGTGGTGTCTTTGTTACTTGTCCGTCTACTTTGGGTTTCTTAACCGGCTGATCAGCCTATGTAAATAAAATACAAAAGAAGCGGTGACAGCACAGGGATTTAATGTGAGTTTTTTTTTGCTTGTAAATACTCTATTTTAAATATATGAAAATAAAATCACCCAGGGCTCTAGGTTTTAGGCTGCCAGTAAACAAACAACTTAATTTAGAGGTGTAACAGAAGGCTCTGAAAGCCCTGGTTTTAGAATTACATACAAATTAAATCCTAGCCCAGCATTTGAGACATGAATTTAATTTGTCTAGAATACAACTTCTCCATTTGTAAAACAAAGATAATTATTTCCATCACAATCACTGTGAGATTTAAAAATAAAATGGAGGATATACTTAGAAATTCTACTGGATACAGTAGTTAAACTATGAACATATGTAGCTTATAGAATATTGCTTTTAGGAATAGTGAAAATTATTAACCACATAATTTCAGATTAGCTATATAACTGTTAGATAAGTGACAAACTGATTCTGTTAAATCCTGCCAATACTCTTACCCTCCAGTTTCGAATCCTCTTCAACCTACTAGGCGTTTTCTCCAATATTTGTAGAAACTCATGTGTTAGCTCTAAAAATAAAATTTAAATTTAAAACTTAGAAGGTATCTTAAGATTTAAGTTTTCCTCAAGTGGGTAATATTAAAAAGGAACCCTCTGAGCTCATCTCTATTATAGTGGTACCTTGGTTCACGAACTTAATTCTATTCCATGATTCTGGTTGCAAAATTTATTCTATGAATTCAATTACAACCCAGTATCATGGAATGAATGCTGCAACCAGTCATGGAAAGAATCAAGTTCGTGTACTGAAGTGCCACTACATTATCAACCTTTGTCCAATCCTTAGCATATGCAGAAGTGGACTGTTTGTGTAACCCAGAGTCTTGTGCATGCTAAGTATACACTGTGCCAATGAGCTACACCAGCCCACAGCTGGGTCCTTTATTTATTTAATGAGGTAATGGGGATTGAACTCAGGACCTTACACTTGAGAGGCAGGTGGTGCCATCACTAAGTTAAATCTCCAGTGTGTTGGGTCCTTTTTTGAAAGAACACTTCCCATTCTGATTTTACTTCCATACTCAGAATCTAAAAAAATCTAATAGTACTAAAAATATCCATCTCCATTAAAAAATCTCCACTAGGCAAAAAATATAGTAATATTTGTTGTGGGAACATCCAAAGGCTTCTTTAAAGTTAGTAGGCAAAAGAGTACAAAGGATTTTTAAAAATAACCCCAATCTATCTTCCCCAACATATTTATGAACTACAAAGAGAAAAATGTAACTGTGTAGTGGAGAAGGGCTCAGCAATACCACCTTAATCAAGTGATCATCACTAGTGGTAAAATATATCAACACAACATACTCTTTTCTATGCACGAAGCAGGGAATAATCTCTCTGCAGTATTCTTATCCCCCAAAACTCCAATTTAATCTAGTTATAAGAAAACATTTGAGAAGCTTCAAATGAGAAATGACCTGCAAAACAGTGACCATTATTCTTCAAAATGTCAAGGTTATCAAAGACAGAAAGACTGAAGAACTTCACAGACATGACAATTAAATGGAACATAGGATCCTAGAATGGGGAAAAGTGGAAAAATCCAGATAATCCGTGATTTCATTATTATCATAGCCATTGTTATTGTTGAGACATGATCTCTAGCTATGTAGTGAATTCAGGCTGGCCTTGAACTCACCATTTAGCCAAGGCTAGCCTTAAACTTGTGATTCTCCTGCCTCACTAAGCCTCCCCAGTGCTGGGATTATAGGCTTGCGCCACCATGCCCGGCTCCTGTGGTTTCATTATAGTAAAACGTTAATTCCCTGGCTTTGATAATCATATACTGCTATATAACATGTTAACACTAGGAAAATCTGAGTGAGGGGTACAGAGGAACTCTTTCTTCATGTTTAAAGTTATTTCAAAATTAAATGGTAAAAAAAAAAAAAGAAAAGAAAAAGAAAAAAGAAAAGAAAAGAAATTCCTTCACTATATTCATATTTTCTAGAAACCAACACTATTAGCAAATTATCCTTGCCATAAATTTATCAGTTTTGTTAGGTTTAGGATTACAGTAAGGTGATCCACTTTTCCAAAGTGGTACAGTAATGATAAATTATTTTATTTCCTAATATACTCATAAATACTGGCCACTCTCAAGACAAATGTTAGTCAAATGAATTAGAATACCCATTATATAAATAATGCCAAGACAACCCAATACTGAAGTGGAAGCTATGTGAATAGAGACTGCACAGTCACTTAATATTTTTTAATACAAATGCTAATCTTTTCTGCTAACTATTCTAGGAAAATGTTAAGACTGACAAATAACCCCCAGAAGCACACAGCATACAAAATTCCTATAGCACTATGTTTATAAGCATGGTACTATCCAAAACTAGCTTGTGAAAGGGTATGACATTAATTTACCCATGAACCAAAATCTATTAATTTTCGAGATTCAACTTCCTTGGCAATTTCACAAGTGTTTTCTGATAGTCTCATGATCAAGTCTGAATAAAGTAAAATCTAATGCCTGGACTTCTACTTCATCATTTGAAAAAAAAGGGGCTACTTTTCTCCTTGAACTTGAGGTGCAACGTTAACATAAAATTGTTTTCACTCAATTTCTTAACAGCTTGGTTGTCAAACATTAAAAGCATATATAAATGGCTGGGGATTTAGCTCAGTGGTTCCACAGCCTGCCTTTCAAGTGCAAGGTCCCAAGTTCGATCTCCGGTACAAAAAATAAAAGCAGCATATAAAGTTTCTGGTTCAAAATTTGCCATATAGCAGACACAAAATGTAAGCTTTGCATTTTCTATTCCATTACATTTTATGTAGTAAAGGAATAATCTGAAAATCTGTTAATGTGAAGATCACAGCATGTTTAAAAAGAGGACTTTCCCTTACAATGCTAATATATAGAAAAATTTAAACACAAAAACACAGGGGAGTGTAGCTCAGTGGTAGTTTACCCACAATATGACAGACACTCCAGCACTGCTTAAAAACAAAACAAAAACACCACCACCAACTAAACAGACAAAAAAACCAAGCCAAACAAAGCCTTAAAACAAATCATGTACTCTTTTCTATAAGTACCAAAACAAAAAACAAAAGAAACATGCAAGGGTTTATTAATCATAAAAAAGAGAGAGACCACATACATCCCCCCCAAAAGCTTATAAATCTAAGCTGATGTTGTTTCTGGAATAGGCATTAAATGAATTACTTCAATAAATAACAAAAGTATGAACACTGCATGTATCATGATAAATTTCAGGTACATTTTTAAGTACTCTAACATTTCTAGTGATCAAAAGTTGCTATCAGCAACGAACTTCAATTTTTCAGAATCGAAGTGGAGAAATATTTTATGTGGCTCTTATGCCAAAAAATCTAGTAACTTTTCTGTGAACATGTATTAATAAAAGTAAAAAATAAAAATCCTAGTCACTTTGTAAAGCAGGTTTTTGTTTTATTTCCTACATAAATTATTTTATAAAAATTATGCCTTAATTTAGTGACTGCTGAAGTTGAGACAGTACATAGACAAGCTACTTTTCAAGCTACAGAACAGATTTCATTACTAAAGTCCAATTAGCTTTGAGAGGTCATTTCAATTCACTGAAGATTTTCTTTCCTCTGACTAAACTGAGAAAACTTCTGACAATTTAAGGAAAACAGTATAATTGGGTAGCAGTATATATTATATGAAATATATACTTCAGGAGAAACTGAGAAGGGAAAAAATGAAAAGGGATCTTACAAAGAACAGGAGTAGGCAAGCTATATATGGCCAGTTAGACAAATATGGCCTGTCATCTGTTTTTGTAAATAAAACCAAAGTTTTATTGGAATATAGCCTTATCTATTCACCTATTGTTTATGTTGTTTCCCAGCTACAACAGTAAAGTTATGTAGTTGAAACAGAGAACTTACGGCTCACCAATTCTAAAGCAGCTTCTTTCCCACTTTATATAACACATAAAAGTTTAAAAAAATTTGAATGTAAAAATCCATTTCTCTGCAATAGTAACAAATGTGAATCCTGTTTTCCCATTAGTCTCAATTTCTAAAGAGAACTGGGAAAAGCACAAAAAAGAATAAAGTGAAAACCTGCTAAATTCATTTCTTATCAGTTAGGTAAGTAGTATAACACAGTGGTACCTGGGTTCACAAACTTAATTTATTCTACAATTTTGGAAAAGATGGCTATGTTTATGTAGGAAAAGATGGCTATGGGCATGTATGTATCTGATGCAGGTTGCAAACAAAAATAAAATTTTGCCAACTAATTTTCAGCAAACTAAATTATTTGCAAACAAAAGCAGTCTAGTTTCCTTTCTGAAATCTACATTACTTGGTGAAAACCATCCCAATCTCAAGAATCTCCCATCTCTGAACACTTTGTCTCATTTCTCCATCAGATAAATTCTTTCCTTATCAGATCTGGGAGATTCCCAAATTTCAGGTTCACAAATGACAGAATTTGCATCTCAATTTGCCCTTATCCATTCATGTTTAGTAATGCAAGACAACAATGGCACTAAAAAGCAAGAAGGGTTACCGAGAAAAATCTGTTCAGCTTACTCTTTAGCATCTTCTACAGTTAACACTCAATTTTGAGCTTACACAACTTTTATTTTTTTGCAGTGCTGGTGATTGAACCCAGGGCCTACCACATGTAAGCTTGTGCTCTACCATTGAGCTCTGAGACTAAGTTTACACATGTGAAAATTATATATACTTTAAATAGGTATTCTTGTCCTATTAACCTACAGTACTTAAAAGCATTCTTCTTTGAAAAGCTGCCCTGGTTGCTCTGCTACTGTCTTACGCTGCCATGAACTGTTGTTCCTCTCCCATGTGCCACTGCCTTGGAGCCAGGCAATTATGGATTGAAATCTGTACAAACTGTGACCTTCCCCTTAAGGAAAAAAAAAAAAAAAAAAAAAACCC